GAGGCAGGAGCCAGATTGCATGGGGTTGGGAGGTGGATTGGAGGTGAACAGTGGGACCAGTCACTGGAATGTGGCACAGTAAACACTCCCATGTCTTGTGATGCACACACACCCACTCTGGCAGACACTGACCTGATCTACAGGTGCTTGGCTTTACTTTTCAACCTGATTGGGGCCATTTTTCTGATCTGTAGAAAAGTTCATAGCAGGTAAAGTAAATAGCCTACAAAAAGATATTGATGACTTCATTAATATAATAAAGACATCAACTAACTCATGGGCTTTATTGGTTTATACCTGTGTACAGGGCAACCTTTGGTAAGAATTATTCCTTTGCAGTCTTATGTCTTACATCTTACACTAAAGAGCAGCAGATCTACAATGAGAGGAATTTAGAGATGCGAAGGTTACGTGTACATGAATGTCAGGTGCTTAGGGATTAATGAGGACCAATATCCACAAGGAACAGAAGACTTCTATTGTCCCTTTCACTACAAAAACCTGTTCAAGAAGAAAGGTCTTTCTGGTGAGCAGGGGATGAAGTTAAGCAAAGTAAATAGTCTTGAGAATCCTCTAGTGAGTGTTAGCTCATCAGTTTCCTGGTCCATCTGACAAGCCCTGAGGGCTTTTGGCCTCTTTTCCCAGGGAGTTCCTCCAGAATCCCTAAACCAATTCCTTCAATCTCCCAAAGGTGGCCCAACATACAGTTTTTCTTCTGTAGGATCAGGACATAGAACACCTGCTTATTTTCATTAGCTAAATGGCACCTGTATGTGCAAATGACTCAAACTCCCATAACTAGGAGGTACTGTTGTGGGGTTATGACTTGCTGGCCTCCTGATTCCTGTTCACATATGGCTGATGTACACTGAGGAGCACACACGTCAAGAATGGCCAACACACCTGCCCCATGTGGGGAGGATCCAGAAAAGATGAGTGAGGAGGTGGCCTTTATTGGTTTGAGGCTGTTCTCTTTGGAAAGGCTGTGTGTAATATCACATCCCCAGGTAGAACATGTGTACTGTGACAGAGTCTTCCCTAGGCCTGGTAACCCTGACTCCTGCTGAAAAGGAGCTCAGGATGAAAGGAGAGTCCTTGACACCTGAGAATCTTCTCCTGGTGAAGAGGATCACAGGGTCCCACCAGGAAGTATCTTGGGGCCAGGACAGGTCACATGAGCAGAGCCTCAAGTGCTTTCTGTGCACACAGCCTTTGTGGTCACTATGACACTGAGACCTTGAAGCCACTTTTAGGTTGTTTTTTTGTAATTTACTCAGTCTTTACCTTGTCACTGAATCTGTTGACCTTCCAGAACTCTGGGATTGGGGAGGGGTATGTGCTTGTAATTTGATGTGTAAGACTTTGCATACCTTTGTATAACCTTCCTCCTAAGTTCAGATTCTTGGCTACAACACAGAAAAAAGATGTAGCCATCCTTGGACAATGGAGTTATAGCAAGAGTGGCTGAACAAGAGGAATGGAGCTATCTCTGATGCCCCAGAACCTTTGCTGGTTGTGTGTCTTCCTTGGCAGCTCACTGCTCATAGCAAGAAGTCAGGCCGTGGTTAGGGAACAGAGGGCTGTGGGCAGGGGCCAGTGGGAGAGGGAAGAAGCAGTGCAGCCACTCACATGTGTCCCTGAAGGCTCATGGCATATGGCTAAAGGGCTCTTCACTGCACAGGTGGTGGAGGAAGTGGAACATGCCTATAGAGTCTGCCAAAGGAGGCACATGGGTGATGTGGGCACCATCACAGATTCTTGCAGCCTTGGGTAAAGCCCAACATATATCTTTCCATTTTTAATAATTCTTATCAAACTAAAATGTTATTGATAAATACTTTTTTAATGAGGTGGATCAGGCCTGCTTTTGATGTTATATATCCCTGGAGAGCATCATGGATTGGTAAAGATGAGGCCCATCTAGTCATGTTGTTCTTCCTTAGAGGTCTTGACTCAGAAAGCACTCATCACTTGATTGTGCACATGTGAAAAGAATAAGTCTGTGGCGCCAATGTCACTGGAGTCCAAGTATGCCTTTGGAGAATGGGCCAAGACCAACAGTGGGGTCTGCCATTCAAAATTATTTTAATGAATAATCAGCCACAGCACATTAGGTCCTTCTTTGATGATTTTCAAAGGCAGGACACAGAGATCACTCTCTGGAGAAATAAATTGTGTCCTACAAAATACTGCTTACACTGAGCTCTTTGGAGTCTGGAGTTGCACTTGTAGAGTCAATGCCATGTAGGATCTAATAGGTGACGAGTACATCATCAGTCTTGGTAAAAGGGAACAAGGATGTTTATTTTGGGAGGTGGCACATGAGAACCAGTGTCATCAGATGATACATGAATTGTATCTTAAAGTACATGTGGACATCATGACCAGAAGTGATGATGTCTTCAATGTTTCCATCCCCCATGTTCCTGTTCCCCAGTTAAACACAGAGAGCTGAAGGGGCCCTGGGATTTCCAACACTGCTGAAGGACACCTGTCACCAGTGCATCCTGCTGAGACCGTGTTCCTGGGATTCTGTGTGTCTTGGGATAAATAGTACCCACCCCACTTACCACCCTCCTGTACTCTTAGTTCCAAAATGCACTACTTAGGATAAGAAAATAGCAATAACAGTCAGTTAGATGTGATCATAAAACAGGATATGAAGTGATTGAAATGTGATGATCTTATTTAACTGAGAGAAATCCCACTGGAACCAGAGCCAAATTCATAAGCACAATCAATTGGCATTTAGAATAAATCAACATTGCTCCTTGGCAAAGTTGATTAGATTCAGTCTATTTGTTTTTGTGGGTGAGGTGATTATTCTGTTTGACTTTGCACTTACATTTTTTCTTTTTGTTGCATAATTGGGACACCTAACTTTTACTGCCAGTTACTATACTGAGCATTGTTCCTGAGTTAATTTGTTTATCCTCATATAAATTGTTTGCTCTCAACCTTCATGTACAAATGAGGGAACAGGCTGAGAGGATCAGCACCTTGCTGAAGACTCCCGAAGTAGAAAGTTCCACAACTGAGCTTGAAACCAGGTAGGCCCTAAAATTGGGCTCTTCTTCACAACTCAGTAAGGGAATATATTCTAAATTTGAAAGATCCAAACAGCCCTGCAGAATTGAAAACAATGTGTAAAACATCCTGAGTAAGATTCTCAGGTGGGTGGGATTGAAACTCTACAGTAATTTGGGAATAGTTGACTTTACACTTTCTAATATTTCTTCAGGAACAAGGTGTGTGTGCCTTGGTGTTGTCAGATTCCTTGTTACATCTGTGAGGAAATTTTCACAACTTTATCTTTCAAGCTTTGCCTGTTTGAACTGTGTGAACTTCAGTGTATTCTAGTTGCTGCTGGAGTTCCTGTTGCCAGTGGTGCCCTTATCTCCAATGCGTCACAGGATGAAACAGGTTTATGGGAAGAGAAGGTGGTTCACAGGCTGCCCTGCGTTCTGTTCCATCACAAACTTTCATTTGTTCTCACAGTTTTTCTCAGCAGGTTATTGTAGATTTCTCTGAGAGGTGATCCACCATCTACATACCATGACCAATTCACTGATTTGTTTTTTGTCTGGTTTTTCCTCTAATTTGAAGAAAATTAAACTGATCAGATGTTGGCCCTTGTTGTTTACTAGTCTTTAGTTCCGGGGCAGTTTTAGGTTCACAGAAGATGGAGCAGAGTGTACACAGCGCTCCCATCTACCTCTCATTTCCAAACAGGCCCAGCCTTCCCTGTGGTCAGCATTGCACACCTGGTTGCACCTTCGTCCCCGCAGAGTGCAATTGCTGGGCGGTGGGGTCAAAGGACATTTAGTTTACAAGAAATGGCCACACTGTCTTCCAACTGGCAGCACTATTTGGAATTCCCAACATCCAGGAGGAGGATGCCCCATTGCCCCACATAAGAAAGCAGTGGGGCAAGTGGACTGGTATCACCTCAGACACCCCTCGATTCCCAGGGCTACTGGGGCACAGGGGCCCTTTGCTTGACCTGACCCCATCTGTCTCCAGTCACAAAGCCATCCCTATCCCACTGTGCACTGGTGTTTCAGGGTAACGCGCACAGGTTCCTGTGTTCCCTACCCACCACGTGGTTCTTGGTGTCTGGTCTTCCCTCACGCTGTTCCCATGGGATCTCTCCTCCCAACACCACTTCATGTCAAACCCTGTCTCTCCTGAGAGGCCTTCAACCATGCTCCTCTGTACCCAGACTGCTTCCTAATGTCTCCTCAAAACAGTCTGTGCCCCTGGGCTTCAATGGGGTGCCTCTGTGTGCCTGGGGACAGGAGGAGGATGGGCCCTGTGGGCATTGCTGCTGGGACCCTGATGACCCAGCAGGTGCCACCCTCCTAAATGACAAGAGAATAGTCAGTTAAAACAGTTTCCTGCTTGATTTGATGGAACCTGAGTTGACTGTGTTTGAAACATTAGATGAGAGTCAGGGGGTGGGAGCTGGGGAGGTAGTCTTCCTCATGGAACAGTGTTACCTCAAGACCTGAACATCACTGATATCTTCAAAAGTATCCCCACAAAACTGACCATTCTCCCTCAACTCCCTAAGTGACCCTGGACCAGCAGGCATCCTTTCACACTAAAATGATCCCAAACCAAACATTCTAAGAGTGTGTGCCTATCAACTTCTCTTTGCCAGGCATTAGGCTAGGACAGATAAGCAAAACCAGTCACTGCTCACAATTCCCGCAATTAAGAAGATAAATTCTAAGGGGACTCCATCAATCAAATGATTGTACATTTCTAAAACTCCAGTTAAGAAGCTAAATTATGGGGGCATCTGCCAATCAACTGATTATAGTTTTGTAAACTCCAGCCTCTGTTTTTCCAGAAAGGAGGTGTGCATGGTGCCAGCAATGCTGATGGTTAACCAAGTCACTAGGGCTGTGACCTTGATGGTTGGCATCAGGCCTCTGTAAGGAAAGAAGTGCTAGAAGCCAGGCCTTGCGTCCTGCCACATCAGAGTGGGCAGGACCTGTGAGGCTCACTGGGAACAAATAGCCCTGAGATCCCCAGGCTTCTGAGTCCAGCTGCTAACTGCTCATTGTTTGCTAAAGCTGAACTCAAAGCAACATCAACCATGAGACTGTTCCTGTCTGTCCTGCTGGTCACTCTGGCCCTTTGCTGCTATGAGGGTGAGTATCGTTTTGAATCAGACTACCACCAGCCCCAGTAAGTAACCTTCTATGAAGTAGGTAACTTATTTGGGGAAGGAATAGTGAACTGATCAGATCCCAAACTGGCCCACTACTTGTGGACAAGCTGCCTGTGTGCTGAGGGTTCCTGTATCACTCCCCAGCAATTTTGAACTTTACCCTTTCAGGACACTTTGAAGAGTGTCTCATCTGAAGCCTCACTCCCCATCTAGGGTCTATGTTCAGAAGCAGAAGGATGCAATAAGATTTGGATGTGTGTCATGGTTCTACCACACAGCAGCACTGTGTGTTGAACAAAATGCTCAACCTCCCAAGTCTTCTCTCATCCCTGATTTCCACAGCCACCAGCAAGAGTAGCTCTGACCATGGAGTGAGACAAAGGGCGTCAGAGGCCAGCCCTGGGTCTCTTCAGCCATACTTCTTCCCAGAGTTTTTGGTGCTAGTTGAGTCCACAGCTCTCTAACTCTGTCTTTCAGATTGGTAGAATGCTCCAGCTGGGAGGGTTCTAGTGGAGTTCTCAGCTCAAGAAGAACCAGTGTGATCTGGATCTCTCAGGAAGCAGTCAGGATCAGCAGCACTCAACACATCCACACGCCCTGCTCCTTTTTTGGGAGTCTGCCTAGAATTGGAAGAACCAGTGCAATCTCAGGGCCCCACTGGGTGCATTTCTAGGTGACTTCTAGCCACTCATCCAACAGTACTTTGCTCTGTCGTCATGCCCTAGACTCTGACCCATGTGCTTTTGAGTCTTTCTCTTTCATGTGACTTTCTGAACTCCTCTTTCCCCATGTTGCCTCTGATCTGACCTTTCCCCATCCCTGCATAGTTGCTGCCTGATCGGGTCACATGGGAGGCTGGCAAGGCACATGCCTCGCTGCAGGAGGTTGTAATGATGTGGGGGCAAAGTAGGGTGTGGGCATGGAGAATCCAGACCAGGAAGAGTGGTGACTTCAGGTCTCAGCACAATCCCAGTGGAGCTGAAAGCAGACACCCATTGCCAACCCCACCGTCACAAAGGAATTACATGTTCAGTGCAGACCAGAAGATCTAGCCATGGTTCATGTGTAAGCCTCAGCTTGCTTTCTAAGCTTCTTAGTTGTATTCACCAAATGACATAATTCTACTGTTTAACTTACTCTCAAAAGAGCATCGTCCAACACTCAATCATTGTCCCTGCTCCTCTCCAGACTTAGTCCCTCTTCTCTGATCTCTGTGAGATCATCCTCTCCCACTCTGCTGGAAAGACTGAAAAGTAAGAGCTCCTCTCCCCTCATGTCCAAGAAAAGAGAACCTGTCACTGTAATGACAGGCAAAACCTTAATTTCTGAAATCTAGGGAAAGTAAATTTCTGCAAAGCAGGAGAGTCTTGGAAAGGCATGCGTGTAATTTGCAAAAGATAACAACTGAACTGGAGCTCAGTGACCCTATTTTCTAGGACCAGCCCGGCTGCTACCCTGTGATTTGAGCAAGCCAGGACTTCTAGGATTTTCCATTGTCATTTGTACATTTATGGAACAGGACCATAAAACACCTGGTGTTCCTGTCTAAGGTCAGGGGGCCATGGGGGAAAACTGACTTTCTTACGTCAATTATATTTCTTCTTATTCTGCTCCAGCAAATGCAAAAGTCTGTCCAGCTAGGATGGCTGAACTTAGAAGCTTCTATTTGGATACTGAAGAGATGTACAATCTTCTTCTTCTGATGTTTGCTCCACCTAGAGAAGCTGCCGAGGCCATGGTAAAAGTGAAGAAATGCGTAGGTCATATGTCCCTAGAAGACAGAAAGAGAGCTTACAATACTCTGGTAAATTGTTTCTCCTGCCTATGTAGGGGCTTCTGCTCAGCTGCATGGTCAGGAGGGAGGTCAGGGTGCTGCACTGTGGGCACAGGGCAGGGAGGCTCCTGCCCCTCTTCTCACCTCTGGCAGAGTGGCCTATGGCCACAGGGTGGGTGATGACATGACACCTGCTGAGCTAGACTAAGGCTGCACAGTACGTGTAGCATGTTCCTCCTCAGGTCACCTCTTTGGGCACATGTACCCACAGTGTCCTGGGGAGGACAACCAGGCTCCAGGTGGTGATGCTGAAGGGCAGAGACAGCTGCCTCCTGCCTGGGAGGTTTCAGAGGTCAGAGGGTACATTCCCTCACCCAGCGGCATAGTCCATGGAGAATGTTACAGAGCTTGGAGTGGGTTGAAGAGAGATGGAGTGAGGACAGCAGGCGAAAGGGCACTGTCCCAGGCCCCCTGTCAGGATGGAGGGGTGGATGGCTGGGGAATCCACCAGCTCTCACAGAGTGAAACCCTCCCTGTCTCTCTGACCACTTTCCCAGCCCTGCCCAATTATGTCCAATGGACAGAGACCCTCCCTGTTATGTCCTCTGCAGCCTTGCTTGGAGCTGAAATACTTCTGTTACGTGTTTGCAAGGAAACTAGGGGTGGGTTTCCCACTCAAAGCTCTCTCATGCCACCGTCGATGAGAATAATTCTACCAAGACATAATCTCCTTGGGGAAAAAACCTGACCAGTCTCTCAGAGAAGAAAGGCTTTTTAGCCTCTCTCCCATTGGGCTTTTATTGAGTTTAGCTTGCATAGGGGTGCATAAGAAGAAAGAAGGTGTGGTGTACAGATAACATTTCTGAGATCAGGGGTCCGTCTGAGTCAGGGTCTGGTAGACAGTATGATGCTGGTTGGCTGTAAAACCTTGGGAAACAAAGTTACTTTGTGCTTGGAACACTAACATTTAAATTCAGGGCATTCTTAGCAAAGCAGGTTTCATGGGACTTCATGCATTCTTTCTGAGACCTGATGGTCGCCATCCAGGAACCGCCAGTTCCCACACAGGGCTGTGCCCCCCACTGTCATTGTTTCAGGCTGGAATCAGGTGGGGGCAGCAAGGTAGCCAAGAGGTTAGGAGACGTTTTACAGATACAATGAGGACTCAGGCTGTGATAAAGCCAAGGGGAGAGGGGTTTTGTCCCTTCCCCACAATCCCCCAAGTCCTTCCCTGATGGCACATTTGCAACTGTGCATGTCTTAAGTTGTTCGTTTCTTGAGGAATCTTACCTATCATTGACTATCCAGCCATCCTCCAGGGGCCTAGCAGGGTGAAGTAGGAGGCAGAGGCTGCACCTCTGCTGGGAAGGTAAGTTTTTGTCTCCTTAGTGGCTTATGGTCCCAAGGTCCCCTAGTCACAGGGTCTTTTTGCCTGACAGCAGGATAACAGATCATAAAACCAGGAAGGATGGTCCCCCAAAAGAAAATCAGATATTTACAATCATCTCCCAGCTGGTCTACTTCTTGAGTGCAGTTGGGTTTGGTACAAATTCCTGCACAGGCTAGATCAGTGTGGGGATGTCATGTGCTATCAGGTTGACTTCCACGCAGGAGACAGTTCATCTCCTGAAGACAGAATGTCCCACAGCTCCTCCCACTTCTGTCCTCTTCTTTAACCCTGTGTCCTCTTGGTGTGAAAAGGTAGAGCGCTTGGGACTTTGAGGAAGGAAATCTGGGCTGCTTGGTCCTACCCTTAACCCTCTTCTGGCTCCATTAGAAACCTGATTCCCACGCCTGTGTTACTCGGGGTTTATCTGTCAGGCTATGGACAGGTTCTTCCCTGTATTGCATGGTTTGTCATGACTGGACCAGGACTATTGAATTCCCCTCCTTCTGAGCTCTCCTGCCTTGTGCCTCCATGTGCCTTTGCTGGGTGCAATGTCCTTCACATGTTGGTGTCAACAAAAGTCCATGTAAATGTGTCATCTCCAGGGGCAACATGACTGACTCCCTCTGTCTCTCTTTTTCTATTTCAGAATGATGTGAAGAACATGTGTGACCAGTAGATATTAAAAATCTTACACATGAGAGCCTCTGTCATTTAAGGATGGCCTAATCACCCCCAGAAAATGTGAAGGTTTCAACAACTTACTTCAATAAAGTACTTGCCCTGCACTCTTGTTATTGTCCAACGGTCTCTCCCTGGAGTTGTGGTGGTTCTCATCATGAAGTGGCCATTGGGTGATGTCCATAGTACATTCTAGAGATGCAGTGTCCAGTGACCATAGTGACCTGAGACATAGATCCCAGAAGGTATGCTGACTCAGGAGCCATCCTACATCCCTGCACAGATGCCGAGTCACGGGGCTGGGGAAGAAAAGGGGAATGAGGGGTCAACAGCCCTTCTAAGGGTCCTGCCCCTGGGCTTTACTAAGGAACCACAGCCTCCCTGAGCAATCACGTGGTTCCCAATAGCCAGCCCCATCACCATTCCATCCCCATCAAAAGCACAAAGAGCCTGCTTGGTCCTCACCCTTCACTGGGTTTCCATGCTGGGAGGGTGCAGGGTAATATGTTTTCTGTCCACTTCTCACTTTGTAGTGAATCTCAGGGCTCAGCCTTCAGGGAACTCTTTGTTCTTTGCATACTCACATTACTTACCACCCTTGGTGACTCTTCACCCTCCCAATCTCCCCTAAAGGCCCCAAAACAAGCACCCCATTGCCATCCAGGCAATCATATACATACAATCCATGCTTATTGCAGGAGGAACAGTCCAATGCACAGTGTCTGCACCAAGCCAACCCCTTTCCTGGGATCCCCGCCCATGCTGATGGGCCTGCCCTCCAGTGAGGCAATGCTGACTCAGCATTGGACGCACCCTGGGCTCTGGGATCAGTTTCCGGTGTCTGTCTAAACTCAGCACCACATGCTTTGTGGTTTCTCAGAAGGTATTTTCTTCAGGTGTGAGGGGGGGAAAGTCTAATATCTGGAAGACTCTGCACAAATCACAGCATCAGGAGAGCCATGCTGGCCCTGGAGAAGTGAGATGAACATCTCTTCCTGGCTGCTTTCACCTTTGAAGGCTGATGGCAGTCCTGGTCTGGTGCCCACATTGCTTCAGTCTCTGCCCAGGGAGGGAACCTTGCCTTCTCCCTTTCTGTGTGTTTCCAAATCTCTCTGCCTCTTTCCTTCATAATACATGGGATGGCATTTGGAGGCCACCAGGAAATTCAAAATTTCTCCCTAACTCACTATCTGCACCCAAGTCACATCTGCAAAGCCCCTTGTTCCATGGTGGAGAAACAACTGGCCCAGGTTTAGGATATGGATTTGGTGAGGGGCAGGGCTTTAGGAGGCCACTTCAGCTCATCTGCTTCCTGACACCTAAGACTCCACTGAGTTCTGTTCCCTCCACGTCCCAGCAACCCTCAGATAACTTGGCCTTCTCATCTGCACAGTTGTCATCACAGTCCAGTCCCAGGCCTTTCCCACTGTGCCCAGGCCCCCTAAACACCCCTCTGGGTCTGAGAGTCATCTCCTGTCATACGCACTATTGGCCTCACTGTGACCCTTCCAGTGGGATTCCAACCTTACTTCTGCAACTTCGAAACATTAGAGGTCATGTGTTCCTAAATGTTTCAGGTAAGAGTACTTATTATTAGATCTAACCCATGTCTAATTATGAAGGATGTGTGAAGCACAAGCTATGATTCAGAATCCAAAACTAAAGAGTTATCTACCATTATTAATTATGCCCAACGTCTTTACAATAAGTGTGTATTTTTTATTACTTCAGGAAGCATGTATACTTACATTAGTCTCTGTTTTCTGAAACAAATTATATATTCAGTCTACATGCTATGCTTGGTAAACACAAGGACTTCGTGATGCCCTTGGGACAGCCTGAGAAACACAGATGGGGCTGCACAGGGAGCACGGAGGCCCACGTTTGGTATTCCACACCCAGCCTTACACAACCCCAAGCCTGGGCCCTCTGACTGCATCATCCTGCTCACTAGGCCATCCTTGACCATGTGCCATTTCTCCTGTGTTATACAGGGTCACACTTCCACACAGGGCTGATGGCGGTCCTTGTGCCTCTGTATTGTGTGTGCCCTTACTTCACACAAACGTTCAGTGCCTCTCCACTCTGATGACATGAGACTCATGACTCCACGAAGAAATTAGTGTATTCAGGCCTGTGTGATCATCAAACTTTACCTTGCGTCCAAACAAATACTTCTTCTTCATCTCTATCCTTTACTTCCACCTTTTCTCTCCCAGACACTAACCTTCCTTTCTAACAGAATAGGGCATAAAGAAGGGAAGAGATGAGAAGACAAGCAAGATCTTCCCCAATCTTTATGGAAGAAAAAGCAAGGATGGTAAACCTCTAAAACATAGTCAATTTTCTGGGATACTTTCCTTGCAAGTGTGTAGTTTGATTTCCAAACGCATGCCAAGGTGTACGTAGTTCCCAGTTGTGCTGGGTCAGTGAGAGGCTGGAATCCTAAAATGTTCACCTTGCAGCTTTCCCCAGGCTCTGGTCTGTCTTTGGATCAGCAGCAATTGTCTGAACAGTGACAATGGCTGCAACAATTCTGGTCTGTGTCTCTCTGAGCTCTTCTAAGTGCAGCAATTGCAGAATTTGATCTCAGATTTTGTCAAGAACCATATCTCCTGTCTCAAACCAAGGCTATGCTCCTCTAAAGCAACTAGCAATCAACCCTTCTGTTGTCTGCTTTGCTTTAGCAACTGTGCTTGTCTTGTGCTCCTGGACCAAACAATATGTGTCCTTCAGCATTTCCAGATAATCCTGATGACTTAGAATATGAAGGTCAGCCAGGATCATTATGCCAGCCTTAAAATCAGCATTATGTACATGCAAAATGATGAATGCTTCCATATTTTTAGGTGCACTGTCGCCTCTTTTGTATTTTCAGATACTGGGTTCTTGTACTATTCAGCATTATGTCCATATTCAACTCTAACAGCTATCCAAGAAGCCAGGCGACTTCTTGGATATCTTGAGTCTTGTCAATCTTGAATCTTGAAAGGACAGCTAACACCTATGAGATACTTTTTAAATTTTTTTTCATTTAATTAATTTTCAACTACAGTATTCTGTCTTTTACTCCCATCCCAGCCCACCCCCCCCCCGCCATGTGAGATACTTTTCAAAAAATGTGGGCCAGTCACTTCTGTGGATATTGCTTAAATTACTGTGACTTCAATCTTGTAGTGTCTGGTTTTTTGGTCTGTAAGCCAAACAATAAAGTTTCTATATTCTGCTTCACCTTTGCAGATGAAGCCAGCAGGGTTATGGTAGTTGAGGGCCATCAGTTTTCCTCTAAACCTGGCCTGCCTTTTTGCTCTGCTCTCTGAGGCTCAGCCAAGTAGGTGAGCAAGGATGAAAAAGCCAAGCAAGAATTTAATTGACACATACTCATTTAAGACTATTCCAGGTTCTCTAGTCCAAACAAAATGTTCCCTTGTGGGTCTTCAGAAAACTCATATTACAATGATCTGTTCTTCTCTCACAGTTAGTAAACATTTATGGTAAAACGAAGCATTCTAGAAAAGTTAAAGATATCACAGCAGGAAAATGTCATAATGGTTTTGAAAGACAAAGCAAAATAGTACAACAAAAGTACATGTGATGGGGGACTCAAATGTTGGAAAATTTTCAGTTGCAGATGATAGCTAATAAGCTTAGTAATCAATGTATGTAAAAAGCTATTGTTCCAGGAACTGAAGGTAGGATCCACTCTGACTGCAGGAGACCATCAGCAGTCCCACCTTTGTGCCTCAGGAGGACTGCAAGCAATTCAAGATGGTATCTGAGCCATTTTGTTTCAGGGTGAGATGCTCACTGCTTAGGACACAGATGAAAGACCACCAACCAGGACACAGATGGAAGACTGCTGCAGCTTTTATCTGATGAACGTTTTTTCTGAATTTCCATCCCCTTATCTACACTTTTTTCTCCTTATTGAAAGGGTCGGTTGAAAATGGAATTGAAGACAGTCTGTCAGGGTACAGTTCATCGGTCATCTGAATAAAGCACCCATAAATTCAACCCCTGTCTCTGTTATTGGTTTTGGTAGGTGACAGGCAGCACAAATGCCGGCTTCTCTGGGTTCCTATATATAAAGGGCAGAAATATGAAAGAAAAAAAAAGGCATGTCTAACTAAAAAATTCAGAAATGAGACAGATTGTGATGGGAAGAAAGTCACCAAGTAAATATACTAAGAAATTTTCCCCATAGTAAAAAAATATGAAATGGAGTAGCTCACTCACTTCCCACATGAAAACACAATTTTTATGACTTTTCGGAACATGTCTACAAACAAAAATTATAGTTTCAAAAAGAAATGTCACTGAACAGTATTCGGGGGCTCTGCGGCATGCCTCTGTCCTCTAGGTAAAAATCCAGAGGCAGAGGTTTAGAGAAAACAAAAAGAGATAATTTATTCAAAAGCTGCACAATTTTAAAAGAAGGACAAGCTTCTACCTCAGAGCCTATTTTCTCTAGAACACCCAGAAAAACTCCAGCCCCCCTCTGCCAGATGGACACAAGGTGCACTCTGAGTTCCTTCTCCCATTTAAAAACACCATTCTTCAGACCCTAGCTGGTGTAGCTCAGTGGATTGAGCACAAGCCTGTGAAGCAAAGGGTCACTGGTTTGATTCCCAGTCAGGGCACGTGCCTGGGTTGCAGGCCAGGTCCCCGGTGGGGACACATGAGGGGCAACCTCACATTGATGTTTCTCTACCACTTTTTCTCCTTCCCTTCCCTTCTTTCTAAAAATAAATAAATAAAGTATTTTTTTCCAGGAAAAAAATACCATCCTTTGGGAAACTGCAGGTGGCTACTGCACAATGATCCAGGCCACTTGGCTTTGTTCCCCTTTGCTGTTGGCCTCAGGTGTCTCCTAGATTCCGCTGGTAGTCAGCATCCTACTTGTTGGTGCATCAGTGCAACAGGCAGAGTAAGAAGTGCAGTACCAGTCACTGGCTTCTCTGCCCCTTCCTGCACTGGAGATGAGGGGCTGGTCCTGTCCCCTGGCCACGTGGCTTGCAGTGCCCACTGGTACCCAGGCACTCCAGACACCCAACACAGCAAGCAAGGGGGAGAAACTCTGCCTGTTTATCCCTACCCTCTG